CGCCTGCAGAAATTTGGGTGTATGAAACTCCTTCATCCAAACGTGGAATGTTGCATTGTCCGTTGCCGTTGGCTCCGCAAGCTACCACACTCCCATCACTGCGAAGAAGTACTGTGTGAAAAACTCCTGCAGAAACCATTGCCAGGAGTAATGTGCCTCGAAGAAAATGAAAGTTTGGCTAAACAAATAGGATAGCCCAACAACCCCAAGTCAAAGTTGTTTTTCACCTTAGTTCAAAGATGTTCAAAGCATTTCATTGCCATATATTGAGGGCCCATCTTGGACTAACCCAGCAAAACTTGAAGATCTCTCGGGCCAAAGGCTTTGAGTGGAGGCACGCGGCAATGCATCATATCTTTGATTGTCCAGAAAAGCGTTCGAGAAATGACCGCCAGTCTTAGGTACCTTCTGTATCTTTTTTTGAAAGAGTTGTTGCATCTTGTAAGAATCTGCGGCACATTTTGCAAAACTATTTTTTACATAGCGTGATGTCCTCACTGGAAAAGGCACTTGTCGAATGTCATTTGCATAGTCATGTTTAATTACAATGCATCTTGGAGAGATCACTCTTTCAGAAGACCAGTCAGCAGGGTATGACATCCCTTTCATGAACACATGTCCATTAGAAGAAGGCAATGCCCTTGAAAATAATATTTCGCTGTGGGCAAAAAGAATCTATGTTTAGAAGGCATGGAAAGGAGTGCCTGCTTGAAAAGCATATATAATCGCTGCAGGTTGCAGCTTAGTGTGACGGCTATAGATGGTTCAAAAAGCGCCTTGCACGCAGACAACTATTGTTCTTGACAGAGAGCTGTCTCTTGTGAATGAACAGTATTTGCGCACCTTAAATCAGATCTCTCGATCTGAAGTTCTAATCCGAAAAGTCATCAAACTAAATATCAAAGGGAAATTGAGGGAAATGGAAAGTCATGAAAAGTCATGGATCGCCCCTTGTTCAAAGATTCTCTCCCAAAGAAAGGATGGCATTGTCCGTTGGTCTCAGGATGTGTCAGGTTAGATCCCCAGCGGGTCATCGAACTATGAAAAGATCCCCTTTCACATCCCAGTATAAATTCTAAATTATATAAATTATATCTCATCCCTATAAAACTATTCTTTTATATCCCCATGATCTAAATTTGCTTGCCATTGTTTAAACATCCCCAAGCGACACCTTGCTGCGCAAGCGCTGCGCAAGCGCTGCGCAAGCGCTGCGCCTCTGCAGGCGCCGCCGGGGTCTGATCTTGTGGCCTGCTGAAACTTCAGCAATTCTTGGGATCCAACAAAACCAACAGTCCTCAAGTCTCGGTTCAAATCGACCAAAAAGCGACCTTTCGAGAACCTTCCCAAGTACGGGGTGCTGCTAAAGGAAATCCTGCATTAATGTAGAGATGGACGCAACGATTGGCACCGGTTCCAATTTGTATCTGATACATTCTCATACTGATACAGTAAATCTGAAACTTGGAATCAAATTAGGCAAAAGCATTTCTTTGCCTGCAAGTTGAGTCATTTTAATTGAGGAAAGCGATGATAAACCAAAGGATTTCAGCTGATTCAGATAAACCCACTTAGGGCTTTTTACGGGGAAGTTCCACTTCGAATATGGACACTCCAAAATCTACCACCAAAATTCCAGAGACATGACACGTCTATATGTTCCATAGGACATCTACATCAAGGGGGCACCTGGATCCTAACTGGATATAAAGCGATATATTCTATGGGGCTGTAATGGGATGTTGTGGAATATTATCGGGTCTGTGACCGACCATAAGAGTTCTTTTTAATAATTCAAAATTGGAGATTCAATCAGCCAATTTATGTGGGTTTCTTGAAGTTTATAGCTTTGACCAATCATTAGTTGATACGGGTATGTGGGTTTGTCAAAAATTGGGAAGCAAACCGCTTTATGACTTTGGAAAGGAGAACACAATTGTCGACCATGGATAGCTTTTGAAATCTGCTATCATGTTTGTTGCCTTTTTTTTTAGAATCTATCGATTTGGTTCATTATCTGTTCCATGTCGAAGATCTAACATGTTGATCCAGCTAGACGCTGACATTACATCTAACCCGCTTGGATGTTCCCAGGGTATAGCTAAGTCATTAAGTCCTTGGCAACTGGGCTATCTCGGTATATCTTATGGACATCTATGTACTATAAGGACTATCAAAGCATGTTTGTGGCTTCAGCAGCACACCTCAGAACTCTTAGAGGACGTGAGATGTGCGGATTTCATGTGTGATAACCTGTGGACATGGCAGACATTGAACGTGATGTCAATTTGTAAAAAGAGTAGTAGCTTTCTGAAAGGATCAAAGAGACAGCAATCTCAGTTTGATGGTCTGAGCATATATATTTCAGCTATTCACGTGGGTTTTGTGAACCGCTTACTACTGGAAACGCACCCCCACGCACAACGAGAAATCTTGTGCTTCAGAAAGCCTTTTTCCCGCTCGGCAACATGTTCTGAGATGTCCAACATCAACAGCACCAGGAACTGGAGCTCTACCTTGTACTAGCCGGACCTGTCATACATGTTCAATAAAGACAAGAATGAAATTGGACTTGGAACAAATAGTGTCCGCCGATTTTTTTGACATGGTGTGCCTTAAGAGCAATCTCAACGCAACGGAGTTATGAACGCTGGACCGCACCCTTTGTTGCAGTATCAGGAGCCGAACTGCTCACCCAACATCACATCTGCAAGGGTGGAAGATGGATTCGCCTGTGACACGCGAGCCAACAACCTTCCTCCTGGCAAAACCACCCGAACACTTCGGAGGGGCGCCGCCAATTCCCTCGCTATCCGCTGATGAGTCTCCGAAACCAGGTCAGATCCGCATGCATTCAAATGAAGAACTTCACGCCCAGCCATGTTCAAGCATATCAGCACCAGTACATGAGCTTCGCAAATACAAACAACATCCATTTGCAAAACATAATCTGGGACTGGAAGTTGGGGAATAAAACTAGTTTCGCAAATATACCGATGACTGGCACTTGCAAGAGTCAAAACATCACGCCAAGATTTCAGAGATGGAATGTTGCATTGTCCGCAACGGTTGGATCCGCAAGCTACCACACTCCCATCACTGCGAAGAAGTACTGTGTGTTGTTCACCTGCAGAAATTTGGGTGTATGACACTCCTTCATCTAAAGGTGGAATGTTGCATTGTCCGTCATCGTTGGATCCACAAGCTACCACACTCCCATCACTGCGGAGAAGTACTGTATGTTGTTCACCTGCAGATATTTGGGTGTATGACAATCCTTCATCCAAAGGTGGAATGTCGCATTGTCTTTGAAAGTTTGCTCCACAAGCTACCACACTCCCATCACTGCGAAGAAGTACTGTGTGTTGTTCACCTGCAGAAATTTGGGTGTATGACACTCCTTCATCTAAAGGTGGAATGTTGCATTGTCCGTCATCGTTGGATCCACAAGCTACCACACTCCCATCACTGCGGAGAAGTACTGTATGTTGTTCACCTGCAGATATTTGGGTGTATGACAATCCTTCATCCAAAGGTGGAATGTCGCATTGTCTTTGAAAGTTTGCTCCACAAGCTACCACACTCCCATCACTGCGAAGAAGTACTGTGTGTTGTTCACCTGCAGAAATTTGGGTGTATGACACTCCTTCATCTAAAGGTGGAATGTTGCGTTGTCCCTCATCGTTGGATCCGCAGGCTACCACACTCCCATCACTGCGAAGAAGTACTGTGTGAAAATAGCTTGCAGAAATTTGGGTGTATGACACTCCTTCATCTAAAGGTGGAATGTTGCATTGCATTGTTTCTTCCGAAAGCTACCACACTCCCATCACTGCGAAGAAGTACTGTGTGAAAATAGCTTGCAGAAATTTGGGTGTATGACACTCCTTCATCTAAAGGTGGAATGTTGCATTGTCCCTCATTGTTTCTTCCGAAAGCTACCACACTCCCATCACTGCGAAGAAGTACTGTGTGAAAAAAACCTGCAGAAACCATTGCCAGAAGTAATTTGCCTCGAAGAAAATGAAAGTTTGGCTAAACAAATAGGATAGCCCAATAACCCCAGGCCAAAGTTGTTTCGAACCGTTCAAAGATGTTCAAAGCATTTCATTGCCATAATATTGAGGGCCCATCGTGGACTAACCCAGCAAAATTTGAAGATCTCTCGGGCCAAAGGCTTTGAGTGGAGGCACGCGGCAATGCATCATATCTCTGAGTCCCAGAAAAGCTTTCTAGAAATCACCGCCAGTCTTAGGTACCTTCTGTATGTTTTTTTAAGGAGTTGAAAGAATTGTTGCATCTTGTAAGAATCTGCGGCATATTTTGCAGGAAGATTTCTTACATAGTGACGATTTCCTCACTGGAAAAGGCAATTGTCGAATGTCATTTACATAGTCATGTTTAATTACAATGCATCTTGGAGAGATCACTCTTTCACAAGGCACAGTCAGCAGGGTATGACATCCCTTACATGAACACATGTCCATTAGAAGAAGGCTATGCCCGTGTAAAGAATACTGCGCTGTGGGCAAAAGGACTCTATGTTTAGAAGGCATGGAAAGGAGTGCCTGCTTGAAAAGCATAATTGCTGCAGGTTACAGTTTAGTGTGACGGCTATAGATGGTTCAAAAAGCGCCTTGCACGCAGACAATACTATTGTTCTTGACAGAGAGCTGTCTCTTGTGAATGAACAGTATTTGTAAACCTTAAATCACACCTCTCTGAAGTAAGTTTTAATCAGAAAAGTCATCAAACTAAATATCAGAGGGAAATAGAAAGTCATGAAAAGTCATGGATCGCCCATTGTTCAAAGATCCTCTCCCAAAGAAAGGATGGCATTGTCCGTTGGTCTCAGGATGTGTCAGGTTAGATCCCCAGCAGGTCATCGAACTATGAAAAGATCCCCTTTCACATCCCAGTATATCATATCCTAAAACTATTTTTTTTATATCCCCATGATCTAAATTTGCTTGCCATTGTTTAAACATCCCCAAGCGACACCTTGCTGCGCAAGCGCTGCGCAAGCGCTGCGCCTCTGCAGGTGCCGCCGGGGTCTGACCTTGTGGCCTGCTGAAACTTCAGCAATCCTTGGGACCCAACAAAACCAACAGTCCTCAAGACTCGATTCAAATCGACCAAAAAGCGACCTTTCGAAAACCTTTCCAAGTACGGGGTGCTGCTAAAGGAAATCCTGCATTAATGTAGAGATGGACGCAGTGATTGGCACCGGTTCCAATTTGTATCTGATACATTCTCATACTGATACAGTCAATCTGGAATTTGGAATCAAATTAGGCAAACACATTTCTTTGCCTGGAAGTTGCGTCATTTTAATTAAGGAAAGTGATGATAAACCAAAGGATTTCGGTTGATTCAGATAAACCCACTTAGGACTTTTTACGGGGAAGTTCCACTTCGAATATGGACACAACGAAATCTACCACCAAAATTCCAGGGACATGACACGTCTATATGTTCCATAGGACATCTACATCAAGGGAGCACCTGGATCCTAACTGGATATAAAGCGATATATTCTATGGGGCTGTAATGGGATGTTGTGGAATATTATCGGGTCTGTGACCGACCATAAGAGTTCTTTTTAATAATTCAAAATGCGAGATTCAATCAGCCAATTTATGTGGGTTTCTTGAAGTTTATAGCTTTGACCAATCATTAGTTGATACGGGTATGTGGGTTTGTCAAAAATTGGGAAGCAAACCGCTTTATGACTTTGGAAAGGAGAACACAATTGTCGACCATGGATAGCTTTTGAAATCTGCTATCATGTTTGTTGTCTTTTTTTTAGAATCTATCGATTTGGTTCATTATCTGTTCCATTTCGAAGATCTAACATGTTGATCCAGCTAGACGCTGACATTACATCTAACCCGCTTGGATGTTCCCAGGGTATTAGTATAGCTAAGTCCTTAATTGGCAACTGGGCTATCTCGGTATATCCTATGGACATCTATGTACTATAAGGACTATCAAAGCATGTTTGTGGCTTCAGCAGCACACCTCAGAACTCTTAGATGACGTGAGATGTGCGGATTTCATGTGTGATAACCTGTGGACATGGCAGACATTGAACGTGATGTCAATTTGTAAAAAGAGTAGTAGCTTTCTGAAAGGATCAAAGAGACAGCAATCTCAGTTTGATGGTCTGAGCATATATATTTCAGCTATTCACGTGGGTTTTGTGAACCGCTTACTACTGGAAACGCACCCCCACGCACAACGAGAAATCTTGTGCTTCAGAAAGCCTTTCTTCCCGCTCGGCAACATGTTCTGAGATGTCCAACATCAACAGCACCAGGAACTGGAGCTCTACCTTGTACTAGCCGGACCTGTCACACATGTTCAATAGAGACAAGAATGAAACTGGACTTCGAACAAACTGTGTCCGCCTATTTTTTTTACGTGTGCCTTAAGAGCAATCTCAACGCAATGGAATAATGAATGCTGGTTGCAGTATCACGAGCCGAACTGCTCACCCAACATCACATCTGCAAGGGTGGAAGATGGATTCGCCTGCGACACGCGAGCCAACAACCTTCCTCCTGGCAAAACCACCCGAACACTTCGGAGGGGCGCCGCCAACTCCCTCGCTATCCGCTGATGAGTCTCCGAAACCAGGTCAGATCCGCATGCATTCAAGCGAAGAACTTCACACCCAGCCATGTTCAAGCATATCAGTACCACTGTATCCCCTTCACAAACAAAATCCATTTGCAAAACACAATCTGGGACTGGAAGTTGGGGAACGAAGCTAGAATCGCAAATATACCGATGACTGGCACTTGCAAAAGTCAAGAGCTCACGCCAAGATTTCAGAGATGGAATGTTGCATTGTCCGTAACCGTTTCTTCCGAAAGCTACCACACTCCCATCACTGCAAAGAAGTACTGTGCGATCACTGCCTGCAGAAATTTGGGTGTATGACATCCCTTCATCCAAACGTGGAATGTTGCATTGTCCGTGGCCGTTGTATCCGCAAGCTACCACTCTCCCATCACTGCGAAGAAGTATGGTGTGACCATTGCCTGCAGAAATTTGGGTGTATGACACTCCTTCATCCAATGGTGGAATGTTGCATTGTCCAAAATCACGGTGTCCGCAGGCTACGACATTGCCATCACTACGAAGAAGTACTGTGTGAGCATCGCCTGCAGAAATTTGGGTGTATGAAACTCCTTCATCCAAAGGTGGAATGTTGCATTTTCCGCGATAATTGTCTCAGCAGGATACCACACTCCCATCACTGCGAAGAAGTACTGTGTGATCATTGCCTGCAGAAATTTGGGTGTATGACACTACTTCATCTAAAGGTGGAATGTCGCATTGTCTATGAAAGTTTGCTCCGCAAGCTACCACACTCCCATCACTGCGAAGAAGTACTGTGTGAAAATAGCTTGCAGAAATTTGGGTGTATGACACTCCTTCATCTAAAGGTGGAATGTTGCATTGTCCCTCATTGTTTCTTCCGAAAGCTACCACACTCCCATCACTGCGAAGAAGTACTGTGTGAGTAAAACCTGCAGAAATTTGGGTGTATGACACTCCTTCATCCAAAGGTGGAATGTTGCATTGTCCGTTGCCGTTGGCTCCGCAAGCTACCACACTCGCATCACTGCGAAGAAGTACTGTGTGAAAAAAGCCTGCAGAAACCATTGCCAGGAGTTATTTGCCTCGAAGAAAATGAAAGTTTGGCTAAACAAATAGGATAGCCCAATAACCCCAGGTTAAAGTTGTTTTCCACCTTTGTTCAAAGATGTTCAAAGCATTTCATTGCCATATATTGAGGGCCCATCGTGGACTAACCCAGCAAAATTTCAAGATCTCTCGGGCCAAAGGCTTTGAGTGGAGGCACGCGGCAATGCATCAGATCTCTGAGTCCCAGAAAAGCTTTCTAGAAATCACCGCCAGTCTTAGGTACCTTCTGCCTCTTTTTTTTGAAGGAGTTGAAAGAATTGCTGCATCTTGCAAGAATCTGCAGCATATTTTGCAGAAAGAATTCTTACATAATGTGATGTTTTGAATGGGAAAAGGCACTTGTCGAATGTCATTTACATAGTCATGCTTAATTGTAATGCATCTTGGAGAGATCACTCTTTCACAAGGCACAGTCAGCAGGGTATGACATCCCTTTCATGAACACATGTCCATTAGAAGAAGGCTATGCCCTTGAAAATAATATTGCGCTGAGGGCAAAAGGACTCTATGTTTAGAAGGCATGGAAAGCAGTGCCTGCTTGAAAAACATAATTGCTGCAGGTTACAGTTTAGCGTGACCGCTATAGATAGTTCAAAAAGCGCCTTGCACACAGACAAAACTATTGTTCTTGACAGAGAACTGTCTCTTGTGAATGAACAGTATTTGTGCATCTTAAATCACACCTTTCTGAGGTAAGTTTTCATCCGAAAAGTCATCAAACTAAATATCAGAGGGAAATAGAAAGTCATGAAAAGTCATGGATCGCCCCTTGTTCAAAGATTCTCTCCCTAAAAACGGATGGCATTGTCCGTTGGTCTCAGGATGTCTCAGGTTAGATCCCCAGCAATTCATCGAACCATGAAGAGATCCCCTTTCACATCCCAGTATATGGTAAATTGTAAATGATATCCCATCCCTATAAAACTCATTTTAAACATCCCGAAAGGTTGAAGCCACTGTGCGAAACCTTGCAGCGTTGCGCCTCGGTGCCGCCGGGGTCTGATCTTGTGGCCTTCCAGAGAGGGCTGCAGCTTTCAGATGTCACCAGAAAATTCCCTCGTTCTGTCAGAGAAAAAAAACTGGTGATTGTTTTATTAGGGAATCACGATTCATAATCACCCGGTCACTGGTGATGTCAACTGACGACTGGTGAAGATTCCCTAATCAAAAACTAATCAAAAACTGGTGATTATGAATGGAACCGGACACTTCCCTAATTTTAGGAAAAAAACAGCGGACTGGATGATTCATGTTGAGTAATGGGGGAATTTCAACAGCAAACAATATATCAGATCTTCGCTAGGGCTGAACCTACAAAAGAACCACCTGGCTATAGGGGAAATCATCCCAACAAAACCTTCCATCGTTCTGGTGGAAACCTCCATCTTTAATGCCTTAACCCCTCCATCCCATCGGCATCCCAGGTATCCCATCGCCATCCCAGGATGTGTCAATGCTCAGCCGTCTCCAGGCGAGATCGCAGCTCAACAAGACCTGGGATCACATCGCCATCGCCCACCTGGGAAAACCAAGCCTAATCTATACACAGGGCACAAAAACATCGTGTTTTTGCATGTTTTTTTTGTGGGATACCTGGCTGGATGAGATTTTCTGGAATCATCATTTACCAACCTGAAAAGTTCGACCATTTTGGGATAATTGACCCAATGAACTATCCTTATAGAAAAGTGCCAAAACGCCAGCAGTGGAAAACCGTTTCATGTTTTTCCATTTGCAAAATTAAACATAGGTCGATATTGTTTTTCCATCGACATATTTCCAGGTACTTCTAAATGGTCAATATGAACCTGGTTCTACATGTATTTTCATTGACATCTGCAAGGAACAGAAAAGTTAGCAATGGCCGAAGTTACCACAAGGGGTTGTAACGCCATTAAAACATTGACCAACAACAACCAACCTTTTGGGTCCCTCATATCGCAGTCCAGGCTAAGAGTCAAACTCATTGGTCTGCTGATGGACCCCGAGTTGTCAATGACCTAAGACAGAGGACACGCCCGACGTGGAAACTTTATGACACAAAATCAAGGCAAAACACTGGAGATTGAAACGCGCTAGATTCCGATTGCTGGCTTCGGCCAATCACAAACATCTTAGTCTCAAATGGATGAGAAGGATACACCAGTTTACGAAAGTGCTGGCTAAGGAAAGAAACAATTCTCACAAGAAATTAATCTTGAAATTTTAAGGACACAGAACACATCCAGATTAATTAATTAGACTACCAAACCGTCCAAACCAGTTTTCCACCATTTTCCATGTCATTTCCGATGATCCGAATGATCTGGGGGCTCAAACCTCCACAGAGCCGCAGTCTTTCACCAAACCCGTGGAGTCCAGGTACTCCTTTCGCAAGGAAAACTCCGTGGAACCATGGACATCAAAAAAATGGAAGTTTCCAAACTTCAAATCCGAAACGCCATGAATTTTGCTGTCTTAAGCTATAAACCTCCCATCCTGTTGGGGGAACTGGCCTCACAACACTCATGTTGGATGCATCCTGTTGGATCATGTCCATGGCCATCACCTGCCCTTGCTGAGAAAACGCGGCCAACCGTTAAAAATCCAGGAGCCCCGTAGACAACATCCAAAAATTCTGTTCTGTTCAGTCCTTCCATCACCCAAAATATCCCAACACACCTTTTCCGAACAGTTGGCTCATTCATCTTACAACTTACCGTGGACTTACATCCTTCTTGATTCTTTACTGCTATGTTACGTGAGTTTCCTCCAGTTCTGACACAACAATCGACTCATCAACATGAGGAGTGGCGCCTGCAGTTTCAAGATGGCCTCGACAGATTTTCGCCAATTCTTTCCAGTGAACCTTAGGGATTCAGGCAAAGCCCTGCACTTGACATCACTTGACGATATTTTAAATAGGGGGATGGCGCCTTCCATTTATGGCTACTTCGGTCATGATTATTTGCTGGAATGGGGTGTCCCTTGTTTTTCAGACAGTTCAAACCCATGGATATCTCCCAGCTGTACCCTGGAAGGGGTACTGACAGCGAGCATTTCTTGTTCGAGTTGAATTGTCCTGGAGATTTGCATCTCCACTGGTCCGCCGTTTTACTCTTGGAAAATCTATGTGGATATTTTCCATTTGGACTTAGTCATTTCTGCAATAAGAAGAAAACAGAGAATCCAAACAGATATTGTTGATATATGACATATATGTTGATATGATATGTGATCTCAATCTTATGCCTGGCCTGGCGCTTGCTGCTTCCCATCCCACTTCTGTTAGCCGTAGCGTTTTTTTTCCACAGCCCAGGGACTCTTTCCCTTCCTCAGAGGCACGGGCTCGACCACGACCTGAGGCTTTGGGTTACCCAATTTTCAAACCTGCGCCGGCACCTTCTGAAAAGCACAAATAGTTTCTTATTATTTGAAATATTTATGCCAGATTTATGCCACTTTTTGGGCAAATGAGTTCAAATGAGGGTATTTGCACCACTCTCAGATTTTTTCCCACTGAAGTGTGCTTTGAAGCAAACGTTCTGAACATATTCTCCAGGGAAATTATGTTTGTCAAGGTCAAAGATCCTAGGTATCAATATGTATCAATGCTTCAATACGCCATTGATACTGATATGTTGCCAGGGGTGTAACACTGTGGGGGTGGTATTGACGTTTCAAAACTTTTCACCTGGAATCACACTGGCATGCCCCTCATCCTTCTCAATCTGGGAAGCTGGCACAACACTTCTGCTTCTTCACCGTACCTGGGAGCTTGGTGCAGTTGGTGAGCCCCAAAAAAGGTCGACGGGGATCATCACGTTGCCACTTCAGCAATTCTTGGGATCCAACAAAACCAACAGTCCTCAAGGCTCGGTTCAAATCGACAAAAAAAACGACCTTTCGAGAACCAAGGGCTTCCCAAGCACGGGGTGCTGCTAAAGGAAATCCTGCATTAATGCTGTAGAGATGGACGTAATGATTGGCACCGGTTCCAATTTGTATCTGATACATTCTCATGCTGATACAGTAAATCTGGAAATTGGAATCAAATTAGGCAAAAGCATGTCTTTGCCTGGAATTTGACATGGGGGATATTTGTCCGTGCGCACACGGCGGCGAAGCGCATGTGGTAGCCTCCGTTGACACCAGGCTGCCACAAATTGACGTCACCGTCAACGCTGACACGGACTAAAGATCTATCCTCCACTGCAAAAAAAACTATGGAAAACCATCAAATCTATGGGGGTTCTGCAGTTTCCCAGTGGAAATCATCGACAAATTTCCATGGGTTTTTCAAACCTGCAGCACGGAGCCGCTGAATCATCTGGCTGGTGGCCTGGAAGCTGAAGCGGTCAGGCTGGGAAACTCAAGGGGCATCCCAATTAGGTGGTTTGTTAAAGATCTGGGGATATGTAAAACCATAATAAACCATATGTATATATATATATAGAGAGAGAGTTACATTAATAATATTATATATAAGGGCCATATAAAACCATAGGACTGGGAATAATCCATTCGTTAAGTGTTTCTTGGATGCTGGAATTCATTGATATTCATTGCGCACGCGGGCTCTTAGAGAGTGCTGTGATCGGAACATTACTCACTGACGGGGTTTATGTATGGCATTTATGGTTCACTTTTGTCAGGTAACAATAGTGAACCATAGTACCCTGAATTTATAGTGAATATCTCAAGGAAACTATGCTTCACCATTGTTCCGCATTGTTCGACGATTCGTTTCTTCCAACTGTTGCCTCCAACCCAAGCAGATTCGAAAAGCAAGCCGTTTGAGGTTCAGGAGGGTCTGTTTCTTTCACAAGAAACACCACAATAAATTGGTTTCTCGACCAAGAAGAAGGGAACTCCATATGGCAGGGGCAAGGGTCCCCCAGTTCAAGGCTCAACAAATTTTGTTTCGTAAAGCAGATCCACGTGAACCAGATCGACCACATTCGACGTACTAAACTAGCACCAGTAGGCTACTCACACTCCCACCAGCATCGCGATCATGATTCTCACTTTTTTCAGAAACCATCATGATGAAATAATGATGATCATCAGTAAAGTGAGAATAGTTTTCAACATTATTTCATGATCAGTATAATAACCATCAGTATACCAGCAGTATAATAAACCATCAATAAACCATCAATAAACCATCAGTATAACCATCAGTATATACCATGGTTGCTATATTGATCACTATAATAAACCATCAATATAGCAACCGAAACAAGGGCCAAGGGCCAGCAACATCTCTCGTTTCGCGGCCTCAAAGTTGGAAGCAGTGTCCGGCACGATGAGATTCACGCGTTTCCTGGTGGAAAGCCATGGAGCTGGCATGGACCATGGACCCTAACTGGTTGCTGGTTTTAACATGTTTTAATCATCTTGAAAAATGATGGAGTTTGTCATTGGGAAGGATGACAACCCATATATGAAATGGAAAATTAAAAAATGTTTGAAACCACCAACCAGCTAACTATCAATCTTTTCACATAAAGGGCCTCAGGGGAACAACTGGTGGTCCAAAGTGGCACGAAAATTCCAAAGAAAGCAAGGCTGCACAGCAGTCACAGTCACTTCCACTTGAAATTTCCAACGCGTTTGGTATGCATGGAATGTTGGCCTTGTGTCACAAAAACTGCTCCGTTGCTCTGACCATCTGAAGCAACGGTTTGCTATTGATTTGCCCGGTAAGGGTTTAGGGATTGACCCCTTTCTTAATCAAAACCTAAGAATCTGTGACATCTATGAATTTTTGGTGACGAGCCAATGTCCATTGGTTAGAACCTGCACTTGTAGAAGCTCCTTGCCCCCCATTTTGAGTCGTTGGTTTAACCGCCAGTTCGATCTGGGCACCCATCCTCATAGACTCCTCAAGCAAGTCGTTCTTCAACTGCGCCGTGTTTCACTCGACCGGGTTTACCATCAAAACATGGGGATGCCTTCTGCAAGAAAATAAGGGGACAGTTATCATCCAAGTTCTTACTCGTTTTCCAAAAAGAGCAGCAATGGTTTTAGATGGTTTTAGGGTACCTCATTAAAAACAACAGAATAAACATATATCTGTAGCATTTCCCAAAAAACAAGTCTGCGGTTTTTGGGAAATGATGACCCAAGGGGAGTCCAGTCTCCGGTGTCTCCTGGATGTCAACTTGTGATTGTTCCACCGATCCCAAGATGAAAGTCATGTGGCATCATCATGCAATTTCTTGAGAATTATATTTGAAGAGATAAGAGTTATAGTAACTATATTAATATTTGAAACCACAAACCAGAATACTGTCAGTGTTGCAATCCCATGATACCTTTTGAACACTTGGGCGGCCTTGTCCATGGGAGGTTTGAAATACTTCTCAAAGTAATTGGAGAGCCTCAAATCCAGAGCCGCTCTGAAACAAAAATCAAGTGACATGCGCCAAACTGCAACTGAGAAGATTGAAACCTGGTTTTGGCTGTCTCTATCTAGCTTGGGGGCGTGTTAGATATTCTAGGGCTTACAACCTGGGTGGCAAATGTTTTTCTGGACGTATGGTTCAGGACCTGCGACCTTTGACAGCCGAAATCGTCCTACGCAGCCTGAAATTGAGATGAAGCGACAGCAAAATTTATTGACAACAAATCATGATGAACATGAAAACGTAGACGTATGAAACATTTGGGCCGCAGTTCCACTAACAAGCGGGCTATATGACCATATATATGACCATACTTAAAAGGATTATATCCCAACTTATACAGGTTACTACGATAGTTATACCCATAAATACACCAACTGCACCCCCATGGCGAGTGATTGGCCAGCTTTCATGGGTGCTAAATTTCTCCAGGCAGGGGATCACCAGGTGGTGTTCCCGAACGCTAAGTTGCTTTATAACTCCAATAAGTATATGGTTTTTGTTTATGGTATGTCTAGGTATAAATATGTATATCTATCATGAGCCTATAGTTGATGGTAGATAGATCGAACTAGTCAGTGAAAGAACATTAAAACAACGCTAACATTTCGCTGGGGGGCAACACCTTGAAAATCTCGGAAAACTCAGTGGATCATGAGATCTTGATCCAATGCCAAAGAACCATGAAAATATCCCGATCCCATCTCATTATACTAGTTGTCTGATAGGTTTCCCTACTATGACTTATGAAAATACAGAATTCACTGATACACATATTTTCTCTGGTAGTAAAACACCCTATAATAAATTGACAGTTATCTTTGTATAATGGCTCACAAGATCCTCTTGCAGCAACCTAAGCAAAGCAACCCTGCAAGCTCATGCGATTTGGCGATCTGCAAGGCCTCGTCAATGAAAAAAGAGATGGTATGGCACAAGGGAGGTAGTGCCGTGTTCGAGGGTTAGAGGATTGGAAAATGTTCACATTCGGACACAAAATAAACATCATGTATTGTATTTTCACACATTTTCCAACATAAATACATAATGCATAGGCAAATAAGTAACAAACATCTTAAAGATATGGGATTGAACAATGACGTTCCAATAGGAAATTGCCATCGGTGCAATGGTTTCGTAGGAGGTATGTCGCCACTTACCAGGCTGGAAGTCACTCACCTGCAAAATTCCATCAGGTCAGATACATGTTACCAGAATGTGCCAACGTGTATAATAAACATAGATCATAAATAATCAATCAACATATTCTGTATAGTAGTCAGATTATGCCCATGATATACCATGGGCAATAAACGCTAATTCTGGCAACATCTCATGACACATAACAGAGAAACGATGCCAATTTCTGTATGAACAGTTGGATGCTGGGTGCTTAACAACATTGAAGACCCCCAACGCACATCAAACCGCATCGTTGAACAAATCGAAACCCTGAACGTCTCCGTATTCCAGGATTCATTTTAAACATATAAAGAAAACCATCAAATGGGCGCATCCAAAAAATGGGTAAGTATCCCTAAATCGAACACATGATGATGGTGATGATGATGATGATCATCATCATCATCACCATCATCACCATCATGACACGTTTCTCATTGAAATAGTAGCAACTTTGGGCTATATGTTTGTTACACACCAAAATGGTCCCAAATGTTTGATTGCGTCTCCTCAAGTTCTTTGATCCCACCGCCGCAGTTACCCTGGAGTAATGAACATCTGCCGCAGTTGGGATGGAAGCACCATGTAGTGCCCTCCAAAAAGATAGAACAGTTGGAAACATGGAAATATGAAGTACAAACTTTTGAGTTTCATCTAGAACATCCTGGAAACACTGTCCTACCTTTTTTGGGTTTGTTCTTATGCGAAGACCCACACCTTCAAGCGGCTTTAAGATAAATACGCAACAGCCATGGATCAGCGATCAACCGAGCAGATCTTCATTTTGGCTGAGGTCTGCTGGGTCGGTTGCGAACCAGCTATCATTTGGAACATTGTAAGCGTCCATTGGTAGGCGGCTCTAACCTAGAAGCCATCTGATAAGAGTCTCGAGTCTACCCCCTGCTTTTCTTCTGGGCCCTTCTGATTGTTCTCTTGCTGTTTCTTGGTGCCAGTGTGAGCACCTTTATGACCTCGACAACAAGAGCTTTGTGACACCCGTCAGGGCCCGCATCATGAATGATCGAGTGCTCCGCAACCTCGAAATCTGATTCGTTCAGATTCTTCATGCTTTCCTGTCATGTGGTTGAGCCACTTCTAAAAAAAAAGGACATAGATCCTGCATGTGTGGTAATAATATTTACATTGACCATTGTCGACCTAGATTTGGATCATGCTTGCGCGTCATAAATATTGGTGATTCCAAACGCGAAGAATTGGGGAAATCCTTCGTGGGGATCATCGCAAGTCAACAGATTGGGGATGGAGAACAACCCAGTGAGTCTCCTGGATTTTTTGCCTCTCTTCATCGTGGAGAAATACGAGGAAATCTCCTTTGGTAATTAACGTGGAACGTCTTTCTGGAATTTCCCAATCTCCTTCACATAATTCCTTCGAATGGCATTTCACCACTGCAACAGGGCTGATGGAAAAGTTGCGCCGTAGATTCAGCGCAAGCAGCTCGCCCAAGTTTGCCAGCTTGTCAGGGTCTTCCTCAAACTTGAGGAGCTCTAGAAGAAGTTTTTCAGCGCAAGGGACTGTGCAAGGGGAGGCAGGACAGTAGCGCGTGTACTTAAAGGCCACCACAGGCAACTTGGCCAGCTCTAGGTCCTTGCACCCCAACAGCTAGAAGGAGGGGAAATGAGTTTCTTTTGTTTATTCAATGGTAAATGTGAAGAAACCGTTAACATAGCTGACCACTTTCTCAAGAAGTCTCACCAAAATTGTCTGGTTAGAGCAGCCCTGCCGCTGGTCCTCATCCTGGAGATCGAACTCAGCCATAAAACCCTTCAAATCCGTCCCTGGTGTCTTGGGCTTCACACAGATCGCGTTGGACTTGCCGACAGTGAAAATTTGACTGTTGCCCTTGGGATCCGAGATTGCATTGACTATCAGACATGCAAAGCAAATGGGGGTGGGCCAAGACTATTCTAAGCAAATAGAAGGGATTTTAGGAGCAAAACAGTATAAGCAGATAGAAGGGATTTTAGGAGCACACCAGCCACAAAACCCAATATGCACTGGTTTTGGACTGAAGTCTGAGCCGGGTCTCAAATTCTCTCACCAGTTTCTGCGTAAAGTCAGTGTCCTTTTCCCCACAACGTTTGACGGGTGAAGGCAAGTGGGGAAGAATCCAGCACACATCGCCTGAGTTTTAAGTCAACAGCTCTTGTGTGGGACATGCTAGGTATGTTCAAAAAACGCTGGGAATCAAAATGTGCAGCGCAAAACAAAAAACCTTTTCAAGCAGTAAATTATTTGTGTGGCAGCTTTCCCTTCTGCCTTTTTAGAGACTCCTTTTTGACGACTCCCTGCTGTAACCAAGACACCTTCCTTGAATTTGTAGTCGGCGCCTGGGGTAAAGGATCCCATGTGCATCTCTCCTGGACGTGTCTTCGGGTCAATCCGCACCTGGGACCATCCCGAGACTGACCCTGAAAGATGCTGCAGTCATTAAGGATGATTTATAGGGTTGTAAAAGGTTAAGCGTACAAAGAAAAGAAACCACCATGGTTTGGATTATTGGGGATACCGGGATACCATAGATAGCCGGAACATGCCGGAACCCCTTTCATAGATCCAAGAGCCAGTTAGCCATTGGCTGACTGAAGCCAGGTTGGGAAGAATAAGGAAATTCTTGAAAGTAAAAATTTGGATTTGCTCAAGGACCCTCCACCCAAAAAGTATTCCCTATAAACCTATATTGATTCCCCAACTTATTGTGGATTTCCCATTGGGAAAATACAACACATTCTTCAGCAAATCCAAGATCGTTGATTGTTCCATCAAAACCTCCATTGATAGTGGATTGTCCCATATTTTCCGATTAAATCACATGAATTCCCACCCGAAAATTGCTTGAAATCACCTGAGCAGACCAGTGACAAATTTGACACCAAATTTGCGAGTGCTGCCGAAATTCCAGAGTCTTTTCCCTTCGCTCAAAGCTTTGCAGCCGCTCTTGATCGTGAACTTCAACGAGGGGATTCGGACCCGGGTTGATTCTTCGGTGGATTTTTGCTGCGGCATGGTATTTACGTGCAGAACGCAGGGCCCTAGCCTGGATTGCTGCAAAATGAAAAGCCGTGGTCAACAAATGACACAAAGTGAAAAACCATGGCCAGGGTGCATCAACATATGTTTGCTACAAACTGACATGCCCAGGGGCAAAATTTCCACCCGGATAGATTCGGATCTTCATTCTCCAAACTCAACATAACTCAACGTCAGGCACAGAACCCAAAGATAGCCAGAGTAGCTTTAGTTCAAGCGTTCAGGACAGAAGTATGAATTAGGTTTCAACCATTTTCAATCAATAACTGCCCAACAGCATCCAACAGCATGTTCAAAATCTTGCTTGAGCCGTGCCCTCTCAGGCTGAAGACATCTGCGAGTTTCCATGAAACCACAGTTTCATAAGACGATACCCGTGTCTGGTTAGCCGCATCACCTGGGTTCTATGCCTTTTTTCACTTTGTTTCGTACATTTGATGGTAACATCACAGTCCTTTTTCATTGATGGTGGCTTTCTCGGCATCTTTGAGTGCAAATGGGTGTTTGACTAAACTGGAAGCGCCAAAAATTGGATGACTGGTTGGTGGTTTCAACCCCTTCGAAAAATATGAAAGTCAGTTGGTATGATTATTCCCAATATATGGAAGAATAAAATTCATGTTCCAAACCACCAAGCAGATGAGTTGACTAAACATGATTACTTTGATATGAAATGGGGGTCCGCAATCTGTAGTTCCCCGTCCTTGACACAAGATGTCGGGAAACTGAACATTTCTGTGGATCTTTAGTGGATTTCAACTTGGACATCCCCCAAAATTGCATCGGCCGCAATTTGAATCATTGTGGCAAGAAAAAATGTATCAACCTGTTCGTGATATTTTGTGATATTCCAGGCATTTGGTTTGTTTATTTTTGTATATCCTACTTAGTCCAGCTATACCCTCAAACCATCCAAAACCTACAGCCAATCTATCCATTGTTGCTTTTTGCGTTTGATGATTGAATCACCCCAGCAATGGGAGCATACCGGCACACCACCATCTTCCTCCCCCTCTTCCCAAATCATCCCCCGAAATCCGGCCAACATAACCCATACCTTGGGTAGTCAACAAAAAATAAAACACACAAAAAAAACATCTGGCTAAGTGCACAGCAGATTTTCCCATGTAGAAAAAAAAGAAAACTGTTGAATTTAGTGATTTACCTCTGAAAAATCGTGATGTTCCATGATTTTCTACTTTGCAAACAGTTCAAATCACTGGTGAAAATGGCCTTCTGCCAGGTCTCACTGACTTGACGAATGATGCTGCCGTCCATGACCACAGCTCCACTGGGAACCTATACTCGGCACAGGCGCAGAGGCGCCAGATGTTGGTGAAAATGCTGGGGACAAGGTGAACCCTGGATGAACATGCTTTCAGATGGTTTTTGAGACACCAGATCTTTCACCTTTATGTTTTGATGATGAAAATGGATTAGGATGAAAGATCTCAGCTTTGAGATTTTAAGCGAGTCGATACCACTTGTGTCATGAGGAGATGAGTTGGAATCCAGCAAAATTAGAGATCAATCTGTATACATACTTACAAAGGGGCAGGGACAGTGGCAAAATCAAAAGAATCGATTCAATTGAGTCTACCAGATTCTTAATCTTAGAAAATGTGCGCAACCTTGTGCAAGCGCTGGCATTGCTACACCCAACGCTGGAAGATTGCAGGGTTGGCAGCGGCGAATTTTCTCCGGAATCATAGCAGCCAATTCTGGGCAGGGTTGTGCTCACAACATACCAAGTGGGTCCGTACCCTCAACTATCATAGCCTCAAAATCATGTTTTTGTTGGTTAAAGATAATTTTCCTGGTCCCAAGTTGTGAATTCTGCCGCAGATGCCAACTGATGCCATGTTTTTTCATTGCCAACCACCCAACCGTGCTATCCTTCCCACCGCAGCTGCCTCCATCTGTGGAAGTAGGGTGGACTTGCCGGCAGCTGAGGGGCCAAGCCTGGGCCGAGGGGCTGAGCCGAGGGAGATGGCGTTGGTGACGGAACTAGTGATGGTTTTTCTGGAAAATGATCTGTGGATGATATGGTGGATGCTTATGGATTTTTAATGATTTTACATACAGTTTCAATGGCTTCAATGTTTTTTTAGTTGGTTTTCCATAATTCAGGCGTGGATGTGTTTTTCGATGTTCTTCCCAGGTCTTCTTTCCGTTAATAGCATGCTCTATGTTTTCATGTAGCCAAATGGGTCTGGATCACACATTTGTTGACAAAAGAAAACTGACAAAAGAGTACAAAATTGAACCTGACCTGCCAACATTGAAATCTCATGAAACAGTGCAGGCAAGGTATGGGGATCAGGAACCTAAGAATGCTGGCCGCCCATTTTCTCAAGGAGGTTCAGCAAGAAGGGTGCAAGGTCTGTGCATTGAAGGGAACAAACAAACATCAAGTTACTGCTAAGGAGGCTGGTTACTGGATCAGCAAGGTCATTGAATCGATCAATTAGAATTATGGTCCGCCGAAAATCGATCAATGTCCAATCCAACATGGAACAAATTAAAACCCGATAATATGAAACATGTTGTGCTCTTCAAGACTGGTGGTATTGTTTGTTGGCCCTGAATTTTCCTGGTCCTAGTGTTCACCATCATCTACTGGGTCATCTGAGGTCGTGATCACCACTGCCCAAATGAGCATATCAAGCCCTGGGTAAACAAATTCACCACAATGATCCCGACAAAAAAAAACAGATTTGCTGCCCCAAGTCTAGCACTGCTGATCAATTCTATTGCGCCTCATCCAAATTATGGCAGATACATACCTATTCGGATTCAAGGGAATTGTAGACACATTAATTTGCTAAGACTTTGCTGAAACATATCCAAATAACGGGTCATTCCCCCATCCAACCGGCAAATCCCCAGTGCCCACAGTCGTCCAAGGCGCAAGATGAAGGCGTTTCCACCGCAAACGCAAGTGCCACTTGCCGGGCCCATGGCGAGAGTCACCTGCCAGGTGTTCATGGTGAAACTTCACCAAAATCACCATGGAACATGTCCAGCAGATTCGCCATTTTGGGATATGTTACCATAGGTTACCATTCTTTGAACAAATATTTTTCGAAAATGAAGATGTGCGAACAAACACAATTTTAAATCCATGGACAAAAATCTACAAACATATGATATTCTACCAGGGATAAATATGTGATATCTTTGGCTCCCGCAAAAAAGAACCCACAGTATGTCAGCAGCATGCAGCATTGCCTTCTCGCGGAACTTGGGATCGACCAGCTCGGCCTGCGATTGGGAATGCATCTCAATTCATTGGGTACAATTCCAATAGATTCTCATCATAAATTGATAACTTGGGTATATTTCAAATGACCCAATTGGATATGTATCCCAAATGACAAGTAAATAATATTAAATATATATCCCCAGTGATGGGTATCCCGTATCCCAATATTTGATGATGATTCCAATAGTTCCCAGCAAAATATTTGACCATTTTGGGGGTCTTCCTATTTATTTTTAGACATACCATGACATAGCCATGTGATCGTCAGCCGAACATCACTGACCATTTGTGTGATATTAGGATACTAAAATAATGGCAGGTATTTACTGGGAAAACATGGGATATATTGCCAACAATAGTGGAACCATTGCATGCAAACCATCAGAAGTGCAAAAAATCATGAGGACACCAAAGATCGTAGAACGAACAAACCATCAGGATATTGAATGTGGTAAAACCCAACAAAAAACTGACAGGTTGCAAGTGGGGATGGTGGAAATTCCCTGAAATCCAATCCGTCTATGGTGGGGATGCATTAGTATTAGGTTTATACCACATCAACCATTGACCCGCAGCAAGTTTCTACCGTCACCTCGGTGTCTTGCCTCAATTGCGCCGCCTGCCGTTGCCCATGAATCAACGTTTTGAAAATTGCAAAAAGAATCGCAAAAAGAATCGCAAAAAGAATGGGTTGAAGTTGAAGGGGTTAAAATCTTGCACTGAGAGGAATACTTACTTGGATTTAATGAGAAATTAGATGAAGCATTCTTCCCTATTTATTCTATAGTATGATTTTACTTTTCTACCCTTTTTGGGTGGTTTTGGGGTTGCTATGCCTCAGCCATGGCTGCACGCCAGTCTCAAATCAGTGTGATCGATCTGCCTCTTCCGCGCTCAAAACGTCCTCCACTGAACGCCTCTGTGCGGCCGGGGTGTTCCATGGGAAGAGCTATTCATCGATGGTCTATGCGAATCTATACCTGATTGGGACAATGATTAAAAGGAGCCATCCATATCGCTTCTGCAAAATCTACTCTATAGATCATTTTTTTGGAAACCATGAGTCTTCTATATCTACCTTCGGTTACCCCAGATTAAATCTCATACCCCAAATAAGTGGAGTTGAAACCTTCACCTTGGTACCGAGTGTCCAGGCCACGCCATGCTTACAGCACGCCATGAATCACACGTCACGTGTCTAAAAAGTTACATTCAGTCTGATGGGTTTAAGTTGGGAAATGTTCATTAGAAAATTTACGTGTTTAAACATTGCAACTTAATGGGACCCATGATTCCTTAAACTAATTTGGTTTTTGGAAATGACCCAAATTGAATCGAAATCATGCAAACCTACAATGGAACTCGGTTCCTAGTGTTCATCGTGGATTTCCAAATGGGAAATTTGGACCTTGTTTGTTCTTGTGTGCGATGGGCCAAACAATCAGGGGCTGAGCTTCCCAAGTGTTTGCTGGATTCTGCAGCAAGACATGTTTGATTAGCTTTGATTGGACTGTCTATGCAGCAGGAGAATCTTGTTGCCCTGTGCCAATCTGTGATGAGCTGATGAACTGCGGATGTGGTGACAAATTGTTGCCTTACACCCATCGGTGCGCAAAGGCGTCCAAATTCTGTATCTCCCAAATCATCTACCAATGTATATAAATTAATCGGATGTCAACCATCAAACACGTGAATTTTGAGAGTGTTGGATGCAACTAAACCATCAAAAATAGGAAGTAAGTAACTTCTATGGATGTCTACTCATGTGAAACCGGTTGGTGTGCTGACGATCGCTGGTATCTATCGCTGAAATTATTGGTTTCAGCCCAGTGCTTGGCTTAAGCCTTCCGCAAGATCCTCCACCATCCTAATTCAAACATTGTCCAAACATCAGTTGAAACCATAACTTTTGTTCTTCCTTATTGTCATATATTGTATATGATGGATTAAGCTTCTAATCCATCCGTCGTTCTTACCACTGAACTGCGTGCCGTATACTAAATTGAACCAACCGATTTCGCTCGGAAATCAGTCTGTACCATACCCAAGCCAGTACCACCCTGCGACTTGATCAGCCATTGCTCCTTCCAACGATTTTCATCCGCACTCTGCCAACGTTCTACGGCACAGCGGCATTGGAGTGGCCTCAGAGTGTGTGATGCCACTAAGTGCAGTCAGCAAACCTTTCCAGGTCAATTTTTCCATCCTTGAAGAATGCCGTCTAGGCGTTGTCCTCTTTGAATAAGTAAACATACAGTTGGCTCAAGTGGTTCACAAGTGATTCCTTGGAGGGCCAAAATGGAAGTGTTCGTCACCCCCGAGACAAAGTGCAGAATGGCCAAACGACGGCAACTTGGCAATTTGCTCTTTTCACGGCATGAAGCGATCCCAGCCATGGACAACCTTTTAAGCTTTCCACATCTGCAAACCTACCAACTTCCCCAAAAATCTCCATTGGAATACGGTATATTGTGAAATATGGAAGGGACACGATCCTGATTTGAGGTTTCACCCTGAAACATTGAAACCGATGGCAAATCATTCCATTTTTTCATTTTCACGCTGCGACATGCAACGCGTGATTCTTGTGGCAATGCAGATTGATCGAAAAGCCCAGACGCAACCTGCATGCATTTCAGATGCAAAAAACAACTTTGTCAACCGGTGTAATTATTTGTATTATTTGTAAGACCCTCCCAGCTATTGCACTGATGCGGCCGATCTACAATGGATGCTGCAGGCCCAAAGGCGAACCAGCCACATCCAACCTGCAAATTAAATGAGTTGCTGCACGAACCCGGTTCTATTCAAGGGAGAACGCCTTGAAACATCATCCAAATGGCCTATAAGAGGGAAGACTTGGGATGAAAGTTTAGCCCGAAGCAAGTCTGACTGCAGCTTCATGTGATTCTTGTCAATGTGAAAACCTTTTGACAGCTCTTGCACACAGCCATTCAAACACATGGATGATGTTTTCCTGTAATCTGATCTATCTGTGCGCTGTTGGAGGCTGTATCGTCCTGGAAACCAATGGCCAGCATCTGTTTGTCTGGGAGAGGCCTTTTGGACTTACACCCGCTTTGACAACTTTCTACAAAGTTGTTTTTGTTCATGTATTTTCCACCCTCTGCCAAAAAAAAGCCCACCTCGTGCACTGACGATGCACGATCATGAAAACATATGAAAACATTCATGAGGTTCACGACCGCGACTTTCATGATGCTGAACTCTCTTGAAAGGTTCTCAATTAGCCAGGAACCCAAAGTTTTGAAATAACATGTCGAGCATCGAGCCCTTTTTGCGCTGTTCGGCTCTTGCGAACTTGCAATTTTCTGAACATAGGGAACTAAGTGAAAGCCGAATTGCTAGCTGGAGCTGATCGATTCGCCATTGGCATCCTAAATGGTGCATGGCAATGTTCACGGTCAAGAAGTCTGATGATGAATGTGGCACTCGGGTCGACTGGAGTCAAATGCATCAAACAGCTTGTTCACGTAAGATATTATGGAGTGGTCCTCAAAACATTCTGGGGTCAGGTTGAACTCTTTCCAGCGAACATGTTGTCTGTTTGCACTCAATACCCGCAAAGGAACGACATGTTCGTACTTCCGGGCGAAATCCTGTATCATCAGGAAATCGGGTCGCCCCAGGAGTGCTTCTGCCATTGCCTCCACAACTGTGGATGCCAACGTGCCCTTCAGACTGCCCAACGTGTCTTTCAGTCCCTTCTTCACAGCCTGGGTTGCTTGCTGGACAAAATGCCGCAAGTCTAGCGCACCCCATGCCCGAGCACATGGATCATCGGCAAGGATGTAGTTGACAGCATGATCTCTTGCAAAATCCTTGAACCGACTCAAATTTTGGGAGTTGCCCCCAAATACCATGGGAGCACCGAAGGTGAAACTCTGCAAGTCCATGGAAGACAGGACTTCACTCAAAGGGCCGTTGCCTCTTCTAAATTCTTCCCATGCCAAGTACAGAGACATTTGGGCATACATGCCTCCCAAAGAGTGGCCAGCAAAAACAACCCGCTGCACACCTTGCCCGCGGGCAGCGATCAGGCGATTCAAGAAGGCATCTGATTTCAAGAATTTGGTGTTCCTGATCGTACTCACCGTGCCACCATGAGCGAAGAAGTCTGCTTCACCTGTAATCTCATGATCATGTTCCAAATTCCAGTTCAAAAAATCTAACATGTAAGACGTTCCTTTGAACACGATGAACAAAACCTTGCCAACTGGCAACTCGGCGGTGACACTGGCTATTTTTACGGATCTTCCCAAATCCCCTGGCTGAATCACTGCGTGGACTTCAAAATCGGTATGTGCCATCTGAGGTGGTTCAAGGTCGTCAGTGTAGACCCATGAGCTCAGCATAGCTGCCACCAGCTCAGCAAACTGCGGGGTCTGGTGGACATCACTTGTATGCAAATCAAGGCTGAATGGCCGGAAAGTGAACCTATTGACATCCACAACCAGAATCTTCTCAGCACCAAAAGGCACTGCCACCACTCGACCATTCACTGAGCAACTGGACCAAAATTTCCAGTCCCTGTCTGCCCTGATGCCTGATGGCAAGTCTATGGCAAAAGCCTCGCGAGATCTCGCGAGGCTCGCGAGATGTGGGATCCACCACCAGAATCTTCTCAGCACAATTAGGCACTGCCACCACTCGACCATTCACTGGGCAACTGGACACAAATTTCAACTCTCTGTCTGCCCTGATGCCTGATGGCAAGTCTATGGCAAAAGCCTCGCGAGATGTGGGATCCACCACCAGAATCTTCTCAGCACAATTAGGCACTGCCACCACTCGACCATTCACTGAGCAACTGGACGCAAACTTATCCTCTCTGTCTGCCCTGATGCCTGATGGCAAGTCGATGGCAAAAGCCTCGCGAGATGTGGGATCCACCACCAGAATCTTCTCAGCACAATTAGGCACTGCCACCACTCGACCATTCACTGAGCAACTGGACAAAAACTTCAACTCTCTGTCTGCCATGATGCCTGATGGCAAGTCTATGGCAAAAGCCTCGCGAGATGTGGGATCCACCGCCAGAATCTTCTCAGCACAATTAGGCACTGCCACCACTCGACCATTCACTGAGCAACTGGACACAAATTTCCGGAGTCTGTCTGCCCTGATACCTGATGGCAAGTCTATGGCAAAAGCCTCGCGAGATGTGGGATCCACCACCAGAATCTTCTCAGCACACTTAGGCACTGCCACCACTCGACCATTCACTGAGCAACTGGACCAAAATTTCCAGTCCCTGTCTGCCCTGATGCCTGATGGCAAGTCTATGGCAAAAGCCTCGCGAGATGCGTTTTGGCCCATGGCTCATCAAGGCTCGCAATGAAATCCTTTCTCAGCAGCAAGCATTGTTCTGAGCCATTCCGAGGATCAAAAGCTGTTCGAAACCAATTCACGGGTCACCCACATATGATGCTAATGTGCCAGCATGGTGACGCCTGGTAAAAATTCCCTGTGGCAACTCGTGGGGCCACCTGTCCTGTAGTGTCGCATGTTCTATGTCACCTTCACCACTGCTAGCGTCGTGATGCTTCAAGCAACTGCTGGAGCCAGGACTTGAGGACACAGTCCGGAATCGCTACAAGAAGGACTTTGAATTTTCGGATTCTGGAGAATTGCAAAAAGAAAACCTTAATCAGCTGTCCTCCCCTTCGCAAGTTGCCAGCCATTTGTCTACGAAACAGGGTCAAAATCAAAGCACGAGGGAAGAAAGGGACGGTTACTATAAGGGAATTGCGATGATTTGATGTTTGCCAATTTCATCACCTGGATCAGTTGGACTCCACGGGTCTCCTCGCCATGGATCATCTCTGAGATCATGGCCACGTTTGCGAGACCTCCACAGATCAATGACCACATGAGGCAACCCTCGTGCTGGAAGTTGTCCCTTGGTTTGAACAGATTTTAAACATATTTTGAACGGGAGCATGACGTCAACGGGACCCCAATGGCAATATGTTTGGAGAATTGTGGAGATTGGAGTTTGAAAGGCCCTGGTCTTTTGGGAAGCCTCTTCGAAGTGATACAATGCCGGCAACTCCGGCTGGAACAGCAGCTGAGGTAATCTTATAAATCAAAAGATTGTAGCTGATGCACGACCCGTTGATGCTGTATGCTGGTGCGCATGGAATGCAGAGTGGTTCGACTATCAACCATTCGCCAAATGATCGCCCGGTAAGCGGACAAAAACCCAACACAATCTATCCTACCAACATGAAGCTGATGAAAAAAAATAAATTTTCCAAAGTCTCACAAAGTAGCTCAAGACTGCAGGGTGAAGGGCAAAAATGTGGCGGCCACAAGTGCCCAGAAAACATGTGACACACAAGTGGCACTTGGACCTGTTTATTGGAGCCCGTAAAAACTTGAATATCGGCAGAAAAGCGCACAAATCCGAGACAAAAAAAACTATCATAGCTCATGCTGCGGTCTGGGCACTCTGACAGAAAATGAAAAATATGAATTACCTTGGGGATCATCATCCTTTTCTGAGGCTGGAAGGTTTCAGCACAACCAACCTCATCCCCCAGAGAAGCAGCCTCAACAGGGCCCTGCCCGGCTCCATGGCTGAATGGACCCAGGAGATACTGCAATGGGCAAGGGCAAAAACTACAATCTCAAGATGTTTAACCGTTTCGTCTCTCTGACAAACATTGATGTGATGTATTCTTCCAAGCCGGTGGCTACTCACTTGACTTCATGAAGGCGAGGTTGAACATGACATGATTACATGTTGAAAATTAAAAAAGTTGCATGTCCCATGCACATCCTCCACAGATGAAAATCGTCCGAGTACCACCAAGCCTTTGGAAAACGTAGCAGGCCGTGGATTCGCTTGCAAACTCCGAAGAGTATCAGTGTATTTTCATGTCTTTTCTTTTCCCTTCATCCTGATTAATCTTCAGGTTCGCAGCGGCCACGGGCACAGTTGCAACAAGCTTCCCAAACATTTGCAATCCCTAATATATTTGGCTCTAGCCCGGGTGCCTTCGTTGACCAGTCCTTTCAACTTTCACAAATGGATATATGACATACATGGTTCGAACATTGGGTTGCAAGTGAGACTGCAACTTCTGCTCTTCAAAGTACATGATGGATACCAGTTTTGAACCATCCAATAACATCCATCATTCTTAACATTTCTTAACCGTCAACTACCTCAACCTTTGCCGTTCTGAACAAGCAGAATTCGCTTTGAAATCACCTTGTACCACACCATCCCAAACCAGGATCACTCGGTGCTGCCCTGAACGATTTTCATCACCCACATTCCAGGTCGCAGGTGTCTTGTAGTGGCCTCAGAGTTTGTGATGTCCGCATAGGATGTGCAATCAGCAAAGTTTTTCAAGATCCCAATTCAACCCCTCAAGTATATCTATATATATAGACTCTGGAGGTGTTGTATTTCTCTTGAAAACTCTCCTGCGAACAAAAGCAAGTAAACACATGGTTCAAGTAATTCCATGGAGGATTGAGACAGAACCTCTCTTCACCCCAAAGGCACACTAGAAAGCCGCTGAAACAACAGGCACCCGCCAACTTTTCATGGTTGTACTGAACGGCATGAAGGGGTCCCAATCATGGACAACAGGCAACCGCTTGAACTTCCAACCCTGCAAATGTACCAAAATCGATGTGGCCATATTCAAAAATATAATCTTTGATTTAAAGTTTGCGAGGGACAAGATACTTATTGGTAGCTTCACCGCCAAGAAACATAGAGGCAGTGTGGTTTATCATCCCATTTCGCACGCTGCTAAATGAAATGATGGATTTGTGCAGCCATGAGGACGGATCGAACAATCCAGCCCCAACCTGCATGCTAAACAAAATGACAAGATATGACAAGAACAATAGTGATTCCTTGCAATTTATAGGACCAACAACCGTCTGATTGGATGACCCATGTGGTTGGCATGACCCTCCCAGCTGCCCTGGTGCAGCCCATCTACCCGTGGTTGCTGCAGTTCCAGAGTCCAACCATCTGCATCCACCTTGGAGAGGAACGGGTTGCTGAACATCATCCAAAGGGCCCTAAGGGCCCCAAGGGGGTATGCTTGGGATACGAATCCATTGATTTGTTCGTTGCAGATTGATTACCTCTTGATTGTTATAGCTCAGCCGTGATTTCAAGATTTTGCTGGAAGGCGAGACCCAAGCAGTTCTGGCAAGAAACCAATGGCTCTGGCACACTGGCCATTCAAACATGCAGGTTGAGCAAATTCGACCTATGCGTGATCAAAAAACACGGCCAACCTCTGAGGGTTTGAGGATGTTGTATTGGAACAACCTGCTCTCAAAACTGTATACGTACTACAGATCTCCAGTTTTTTGATAAATAAAATCTACTATCGCAAAATTCCCAAGCCCTGAGCACTGGCGCCAGTGAAGGCTTTGCTCTCCGCCATACGGCGCTGTTGACCTTGGTCAGATCAAGCTGGTGGACACTTGAGCATGAAAGCAATGAGATCATACTGGACTTGTTCGTGTTTGGTTCTTAGTGAATTAGTGTATTGGAACTGCAGCATCATTATCGTCAGGATGATGACGGCAAAAAGGGTTCAAAGTCGCAAACCGAGCATGTCAAGCATCGGATAGCATCGGGCTATTTTGGGTGTTTGGTTTGGCTCTTGCAAACTTCAGGAAAATGGCAAATTAAGTGCATGCCACTGCCACAATTCTGGCTGAAACTATCTGTCGGATTCACCCCGCACCCTATATGGTGCATGCCAACGTTCACGGTCAAGAAGTCTGATGATGAATGTGGCACTCGGGTCGACTGGAGTCAAATGCATCAAAGAGTTTGTTCACGTAAGATTCCATGGAGTGGTCCTCAAAACATTCTGGGGTCAGGTTGAACTCCTTCCAGCGAAAATGTTGTCTGTTTGCACTCAATACCCGCAGAGGAACGACATGTTCGTACTTCCGGGCGAAATCCTGTATCATCAGGAAATCTGGCCTCGCCAAGAGTGCTTCTGCCATTGCCTCCACAACTGTGGATGCCAACATGCCCTTCCAGCTGCCATATGTGTCTCTCAGTCCCTTCTTCACAGCCTGGGTTGCTTGCTGGACAAAATGCCGCAAGTCTAGCGCACCCCATGCCCGAGCACATGGATCATCGGCAAGGATGTAGTTGACAGCATGATCTCTTGCAAAATCCTTGAACCGACTCATTTTTTGGGAGTTGCCCCCAAATACCATGGGAGCACCGAAAGTGAAACTCTGCAAGTCCATGGAAAACAGGACTTCACTCAAAGGGCCGCCTCTTCTGACTTCTTCCCATGCCAAGTACAGAGACATTTGGGCATACATACCTCCCAAAGAGTGGCCAGCAAAAACAACCCGCTGCACACCTTGCCGGCGGGCGGCGATCAGGCGATTCAAAAAGTCATCTGATTTCAAGAACCTGGTGCTCCTGATCGTACTCACCGTGCCACCATGAGCGAAGAAGCCTGCTTCACCTGTAATCTCATGATCATGTTCCAAATTCCAGTTCAAAAAATCTAATATGTAAGACGTTCCTTTGAACACGATAAACAAAACCCTGCCAACTGGCAACTCGGCGGTGACACTGGCTATTTTCACGGATCTTCCCAAATCCCCTGGCTGAATCACTGCGTGGACTTCAAAGGCGGCACGTGCCATCTGAGGTGGTTCTGGGTCGTCAGTGTAGACCCATGAGCTCAGCATAGCTGCCACCTCAGCAAACTGCGGGGTTTGGTGGACATCACTGGTGTGCAAATCAAGACTGAATGGCCGGAAAGTCGACCTATTGACATCCACAACCAGAATCTTCTCAGCACAATAAGGCACTGCCACCACTCGACCATTCACTGAGCAACTGGACACAAATTTCAAAACTCTGTCTGCCCTGATGCCTGATGGCAAGTCTATGGCAAAAGCCTCGCGAGATGTGGGATCCACCACCAGAATCTTCTCAGCACAATAAGGCACTGCCACCACTCGACCATTCACTGAGCAACTGGACGCAAATTTAAATTCTCTGTCTGCCCTGATGCCTGATGGCAAGTCTATGGCAAAAGCCTCGCGAGATGTGGGATCCACCACCAGAATCTTCTCAGCATCTAAAGGCACTGCCACCACTCGACCATTCACTGAGCAACTGAACCAAAATTTCTGCTTTCTGTCTGCCCTGATGCCTGATGGCAAGTCTATGGCAAAAGCCTCGCGAGATGTGGGATCCACCACCAGAATCTTCTCAGCACAATTAGGCACTGCC